AGTCCCATGAGCCCCGCCAGGAGTGAACCCTGAGCACAGAGCCAGGAGTAAGCCCTGAGAATCCCTGGGTGTGGCCCCCAAACCATAAAAAGAAAAAGAAGATCAGTATCTCCCAGGCCTGAAGTGGCCTTGACCCCCAGGCTCACCGGGAGCCCCTGAGCGGGCAGCTTCCTGGCTCTGCTCAGCCAGTGCCGAGGTCACCTTGGTCCCTGCTGCTGCCCACACCCCCCTCCCGCCCGCTGGGTTGGACCTGGGTGGCCGCAGTGACCGGAAGCCTGAAGGGAAAGCGCTGGCGAGGAGCCTGCCCTCCTTGTTTTAATTCTGAGTGTTGTTTCGTGTCAACCTTTTGCATAATTTTAAGGGGAAAAAACCCATTTCTGGTGACTTTCTTTCTTTTTTGGGGGGTGTGGGGAGGGGCAGGGGTGGTTTCAGGCCTGACCCAGCAATGCTCATGGATTACTCCTGGCTCCTAGGGGGTACTGGGGATCGAACCAGGTTCCCTGCACGTACTTCCTGCGGCACCGCCTCTCTGGCCTCAGTTTCTTCATTTCTGTGGTCCAACGACATGCCGCAGCTCATACTCACTCGGGTTTGGGGCCACTGGGGCCGCACCTGACCGTGCTTGGAAACCTTATGGGAGCAGGTGCCCCCGTGGGCACACCAGACACACGCCATCCAGCCCTGGGTGGGGGGCTCTCCGGATACCCCTCTCCCCCAGCCTATTTGATTTAATCTTTAGCCTTTAAAGGAGCCTCAACCAGGAATCGGATAGCACAGTGTATGTGTGTGTGGTGGGGGGGGCGTGCTGGCCTGCTTGCGGCCGACCTGAGCACCGCCAGGAGTGACCCCTGAGCAGAGCAGGGAGTGAGTCCTGTACACCACCAGGTGTGGGGGCCCCCTTCCCCCCAATAAAACAGACCCAGCCGTGGAGGAGCCTGGAGGGCTATGGGAGGTGGTGGCTGCCACGTCTGCGGCTCAGGCCGGGGGTGGTTTGATCCCAGGGCCTGGGGGAGGGAAGCCACCTGACTGGTTGCGACCAGCTACTTGAAAACGCCCATTTGCAGGCCCTTGGCCGTGAGAGGAGGCGCTGAGTGGGTATATATACAGCAGCCCTCAATTAAATAGGATTTTCCATTAGCCGTTCTGTCTGTCTCGCGATCTTGGAAGGAAGCATCTTGCAAACAGAGTTTGTGTCCTCACAGCATCATCCCTGGGCACCCAGAGGTTCCGGAACCTTCCTGCGGTGTCTTCTAGGGCCGGAAGCTTAGCAGTACGCTACTTGCCGTAGCAGTACGGGAGGGGAGGAGAGAGGGACTAGGGAGAAAGCCCAGTGGGCAGGGCCCGCATGCTGCAGACCCAGTTCACACCTTGACACTCTATGACCCCCCCCCACACACATACATACACAGTCACACACACACTCATTCACATACACACTCACTCACACACACATACACATTCACACATGCACGCTCACACAGTGGTGCTCTGAAAGCGCCCGGCTACCTCAGGGCCCATCAACACCGCGTCTTGTGGCCAGAGCAGTAGTACAGAGGATTAGGCACTTTCCTAGCACGTGGCCGACCCAGGTTTAATCCCCGGCATCCCATAGGGTTCCCTGAGCACTGCCAGGAGTGATTCCTGAGCACAGAGCCAGGAATAACCCCTAAACACCACCAGATGGGCACAAAAACAAAACAAAACAAAAACCACTGTATCCTCAGGCCCTAGTATTGAACTGTCCAGCCTGGCTGACAGATACCGCCGGGAGTGGCCCCTAGACTCCCTGAGCACTGCAGGAGAGCCCCCACACCCCCGCCAAGGACATTGTCTTTTTTCACTGTGGTTCTTTGCACTTCGGGGTAAGCAGTGGGGGGTGGGGGCAGGGTGAGACTGGGTCCCTGGGCATGGATGGAGGCCAGGTGGTTAGCCATTGCCTTCTCTCGCCCTCAGCACCAATCCATTTTAGGGCCAGAGAGAGCACATTGGGCTGAGTGCGTGCTTTTGGCATGCAAGAACCTGGCTTCCGTCCCCTGAGCACCAAGTTCGGAGGCATCCCCGAGCACTGTCAGGTGTGGCTTTGAGCACCCAAACCAAGCAAATGCACGGTTCCGATTTGAGTTGGTTTCGTTTTGCCCCTCCCCCCCCTCCCCCCCGGCTGGACTCACGGTTTCCTCCTGGCTCTGCACTCAGGGGTCACTCCTGGCAGGGCCCAGGGGACCCTATGGGATGCCGGAGGCCAAACCTGGATTGGCCTCAGCGTGGAGCTGGCTGCTTTTTGCACAGGCAAATACCAATTGGGCTTTCCCGGAGCCTCTGCCCGTCCACACCTGGTGGCTCATTCTCCCCCCACCCCCCGCCCCCCACCCCAGTGAAGTCAGCCTGCCACTTGAGCGGAGAGCTCATGGCGTTTGTTGTCCTGAGAAAATTCTAGACCTGAAGTCAACATTTGAACTGTGGGCCGTGCTATTTTCCTCTGCGAACCTGGCCGCTTCCATCGTGAGGCAGAGAGCGAGGGGGTGGGGAGGCATATATGAGTTTTCCTCTAGTTTTTAACACGAGATGACGCTTCCCAGATGACCGACACGTTAGTGTTGTGTTCTCAGCGCCTGCCAAGGGGCCTCCACTGGCGGGAGAGACCCGAGCGCTTGATCGCACCTGACGAGGAAAGATTCATTGCCAAGATTTCTAATTCCACAGGGCAATGAGGCTTTAAGGAATGAGTATTGGTACAGTGGGGAAGGCGCTGGCCTTGCACGCGGCTGGCTCAAGTTCGATCCCCGGCATCCGATATGATCCCCGAGCACCGCCAGGAGAGATTCCTGAGTGCAGAGTCAGGAGGAATCCCTGAGCACCACTGGGTGTGCCTTACCCCCCCCCCCCCCAAAAAAAAGTATTTGTAGAGTAAGTAAGTAAGTAAGTCTTGGAATTACCTGTATATTTATAATTTACCCCCACAAACTATTGGGGTACCCCCTCTGCTTTCTTATTACACGCTTGTGTGGATTTTATTTCTTTAGCTTTTTGGGTAATGCCTGGCAATGCTCAAGGCTTACTACTGGTTCTGCACTCGGGAATCACTCCTGGCGGTGCTCAGGGGATCTTGTGGGATGCTGGGGATCGAACCCAGTTTGGCAAAGTGCAAGGCAAGTGCCCTCCCCTCTGTGCTAATGGTTCTGGCCTCCGCGTGGATTTTAATTTTTTTCAAATACTTCCACTAAAATAGGGCCTCTGAACAGCCCGTGTGCAGAGGCCCAGTGAAAATTCAGCCGTGTCCTATAAAGGCAGACATTGGAGACTCAGAAAGATGTGAATCCCCATAGCCCTGTCCCCAGGGACCCCCATCACCACTGGGTTTGACCCCAAAACAGGCCACTTTTCTCAGTGTGTATTTGTTAATTACCCATATTATTAACTCCCGGATGGACTTAGAGGACCGTACAGGGTTCCCGGGGATCGAACCCCGGCCAGTTGCAGGCAGGGCCCACCCGCCGCCCATCACTCCGGCCCGCAAAGACTTATTTTTCAAAGAGCTTTTATGCTCTCTGCTCACAAAGGAGTCTTTTGAAGATTTGGCTTTTATTTTTTCCACTAAGTTTTCCACATTTTCATCAAGAATGCAAGTGGGTTGATTAGTTTTTCATCTGTTTCAAATTTTCTTGTCGTTGCTGTCAAGGGCAGGGACGGCGGCCGTGGCACGTGGCTTTATCGGGGACAGGCGAACAGGGCTAACAGCAGTGCCCGGAGATCACATCTGCAGTGCTGACGCCGTTACCGTTTCCTCTCTCTGGGACAACCATCCTCTCACTCAACCATTCTCTTTTGGTGGGGGGACCTGCATCTGGTGATGCCCCGGGCTTACTCCCGGCTCTGCACGTGGGGGACCATCTGCAGTGCCGGGGATCAAACCCAGGTCAGCTGCTGCAAGGCAGGCGCCCGGCCCTGTTGTACGATTGCTTTGGCCCCAGAGGATTTGGGGACTAAAGATGGTCACTGAGAAACCAGGTTCCCGGGAGCAGGGAGCTGGCTGGGCTCCAGTCGGGAATGCCTGTGACTGGCACTCGGATTGTTCACGTAGAGGTTTGTTTCCTCGGTTGCTTTGAGAGAACTGCATCTGGGGCAGCTTGTCTCTGCCCTGCTCCCTCGTCTGTCGGGGATATGGCAGTGAGAGCGTCTTCCCGGGCCAGGCTCTCAGGGGAGGGAACCGGGGAATCTTGTGCCTTATGGAGGAGCAAAGATCAATGAAAACTGGGACCAGAGCGATAGCACAGCAGGGAGGGCATTTGCCTTGAAAGCTGCCAACCCAGGTTCGATCCCTGGTATCCCATAGGGTCCCCCGAGCACCACCGGCAGTAATTCCTGGGTGCAGAGCCAGGAGCAACCCCTGAGCATTGCTGGGCATGACCCCCACTCAAAAAAATATATATATATATATTCGTATGTAATGTCTCCAATGGAGACGTTACTGGGCCCGCTCGAGCAAATCGACGATCAACGGGAGGGCCTTTACCTTACCTTTACCTTATATATATTCGTATATATAGAAAATGATCAATGGAAACCTGAGATATTTGTCTCTTCTTTTTCCTTAATTTTAAAACATAGGTACAAAGACAAATCTGTTTTATGGGTTGTTATTATTATTATTGTTGTTATTTACTTTCTGGGTCACACCCGGATGCACAGGGGTTACTCCTGGCTCTGCACTCAGGAATTACCCCTGGTGGTGCTCAGGGGACCATATGGGATGCTGGGAATTGAACCGCGTGCAAGGCAAGCACCCTCCCTGCTGTCCCATGTCCCTGGCCCTCCCCAGGGAGTTTTCAAGCAGTTTGGTCTTGTTGACTGAAAACTGCCCAGTAAGAGAGATCTGGAGCGTGATCCAGGACACGTGGAAATGTTTCCTGTGTGGCCGTGAGTTCGCGGAGATTCGTGTGAATTCCATTGTGAATCACAGAAAGACTCTAAACTCTCCCTCTCTCTGTGTTTTTATGTACCAGGATCAATTTGACAACTTAGAAAAACACACCCAGTGGGGAATTGATATTCTCGAGAAGTACATCAAATTCGTGAAGGAGAGAACAGAAATCGAACTCAACTATGCAAAGCAACTCAGGTGAGTTGATACTGGAACCTGCAAAATGGACTGAAAGAGGATTTCTAGTCCCAACTTAGTCCTTTGAGAGCGTTCCCTTTTGGGGACCAGACAGTTGTACTAATCCTTTGGTGGGGGGGCTGAGGGGGCCCGGAAGGTGGTTTGGGCCACGCCCAGAGATGCTGGGGTGCTCAGGAGCGACCCCTGCTGATGCTCGGGGAGCTTTGCATCGCCGGGGACCTGGGAGTCTGCTCCATGTGAGGCCTGATGCTTCCTAGACTAGCTTTGGACTCAGCAGTTGTTTCCCACGCGGAGTCCGTTTCTGCAGCGCAGTAAAGATACAACACGGTCACGGTCCTCCCGTTGTTCATCGATTTGCTCGAGCGGGCCCAGTAATGTCTCTATTGTGAGACTTGTTACTGTGTTTGGCATATTGAATACGTCACGGGTAGCTTGCCAGGCTCTGCCGTGCGGGCGAGATACTCTCGTTAGCTTGCTGGGCTCTCCGAGAGGGGCGGAGGAATCGAACTCGGGTTGGCCATGTTGGCCGCTTGTAAGGCAAACGCCCCACCGCTGTGCTATCGCTCCAGCCCTAAAGATACAATAGAAATTCTCAATTTTATCATGTTTATTTATTTATTGGGGTTTGGGGGCCACACTCGGTGGTGCTTAGAGCTGACTCTTGTCTCTGTGCTCAGGCATTGCTCCTGGCAGACTCAGGGGACCATGAGGGATGCCAGGGATTGGGCTCAGCCCAACCGTGTGCACGGGCAGCGCCTCCCTACTATACTGGCACTCTAGGCCTCACATTCTTGATTTTAAAGCCAGTTGTTTGTGGGGCTGGAGCAATAGCACAGTGGGTAGGGCATTTGCCTTGCACACGGCTGACCCAGGCTCAATTCCCAGCATCCCATATGGTCCCTTGAGCACCGCCATGGGTAATTCCTGAGCACAGAGCCAGGAGTAACCCCTGTGCACTGCCAGGTGTGACCCAAACAGCAAAAAAAAAAAAAAAAAGCCAGTTGTTTGTGTATGTGTGTGGGCTGGAGAGGGGAGGTGGCCCGTCCCAAGATGCTCAGGGGCACCCGGGACCCCTCCTGCATGTCCTGTGATGGGGACCACCAAAGGGCAAACTAGCAGGGCTTGGAGGCCACTAACACCACACATGGCACTGCTCGGGGCCTTCAAGGCGCCCTTGGCTGGGGGTTGGACCAGGGTTCCACACTTGCCAGCCCAGCACCCCAAGTGCTCTCTCCCCGCCCCCTCCTTGCTGTTCCAGAAGGCAGTGGGTTTCCCCAGTCTAGTTTGTCTCAAGTTGCAAACCCAGACATGCTCAGGTGAGATGCTCCAAGCGTCTGTGTGACCAGAGGCCCCTGGGCCCGTGGCCTATGCCCTGGGTCTGAGGTTCGTGACTGGTCCTTCCCATGGAGAGCCCATGTGAGCGCCTGTGTGGCATGTCTGTGTCCGCCTTCTCCATGGCTCTGTGGGTCCTTGTGGTCCCGTTTGCTTCTGCGCTGGCCTGTTGGAACGTGCACCATGGTTCACCCATTAGCTCTCACCTGGTTCAGTTGGGGAGATTCTGAAATCCTATTCCTGAAACAGCACCCCCACTGGCATTCTATTTATTTATTCAGTCTTTGGGCCACACTTGGTGATGCTCAGGAGGTACTCCTGGCTGTGTACTCACTCCTGAGTGATTTCCTGGACTTGAGGGACCCTATGGGGTGCTGGGCATCGAACCCGGGTCAAGCTGCATGCAAGGCAAGTGCCCTCCCCTCTGTCCTATTGCTCGGTCCCCTAAGTGCCTTCTGCTACAGAAACATCTCATCTGAATGCAGTGCCCGAGAGGGATATGTCACATCCCTGAGGACGGGGGCGTCCCGAGGGGCTGGGCAGCTTTGCTGGGTATGTATGATGCGTTGGAAGGGATGGCAGGTTTTGGCATCCATTGAGTAGCATGTAAGGCCAGACTCAATGGACTCCATGAGGGGGTGCCTTATAGAACTCCCAGGGTCCAGGGCAGTTGCTCAGGTCCCTCGTGGTGTCTGTCTTGTGGGGACCTGGAGGCTTGGAGAGCTGGAAAGGAAGGGGCTGGAGAATGAAGTTTGACTGTGGGTTCCTGCAGGGGCCCCGCCGGGCTTTAAAATGTGGCCAGTGGGGCTAGAGCCATAGCGAAGCAGGTAGGGCGTTTCCCTTGCATGTGTCCAACCCAGGTTCAATTCCCAGCATCCCATATGGTCCCTTGAGCACCGCCAGGAATGATTCTTGAGTGCAGAGCCAGGAGTCACCCCTGAGCACCGCCAGGTGTGACCCAAAAAGCCAAAAAACAAAACAAAACAATGTGGCCAGTGGTATGAAAATGGACAGGAAAACAGCTTTCACCAAAATGAGGCCCCGCCTTGGGTTTGGCCACCAGTATCTGGACTCTGCCCCCCCCCCCCCCCCCCGTTCTCCGTTCCCCCCCCCCCCCCCCCTTCTCCGTCTCTCTCTGGCACAGGCCACCTTTTCCTGCCGCCTCCTCGTCTCCTGCTGTGCTTCCTCGCCTTAGGTACCAGCTACCAGGAATCCTCAGAGACCTGCAGGCCCAGGACCCAGTGGGTGCGGGGTGGGGGAGTCATTCAGCCTCCCTGTGGGTTCCACAGCCGGCGACAGAGCTTAGCTGAGACCCGAGTGGTGACTGTTTGCCAGTACCCTTGAGAAGGAGCCAGGATGCTTGGATAGATGCCTTCAAGACTTGGCTTACTCCCAATTAGTACCCAGGCCTTTATTGAGACTGTCCCTTGGGGCCTCTGCTCCCCACATCTCCTTTTTTCTGTGCTTGGGGGTCTTTCGGCCACACCCAGTGATGCAGGGGGACCTAGTGGTACTGATGCAGGGGTACCTAGTGGTACTGGGGGGTCTAACCGGGTTGGTGGGCAAGCGCCTTAACCCCTGGACAGCGCTTCCACCCAGCCTCGTCCCCTCCTAAGGGATCCACTTAGCCGCTCCCTCTCAGAACCCCTCCCATCACCTGCTATGTCGTATCTTCACTGAAAAGACGCAGGCAGAGAAGAACCTTCCCCAGACTCTCACACCCATTTTCACCAGTTAGCATCACCCACACCTCTGTGCCGTACCCCTCCCCCCAGGGTCTGTCTGCTTCTCCCTTCCTCCCTGCCCCCAATCCCTCCCAGACCCTCTCCTCTACCCACCATCAGTCAACTCTCTCTGGATTGTTTGCATCACCACACACACACACACACACACACACACACACGCAGACACGCACTGCACGCTCACACATACATGGATATATACACCACACACACAGAAACACATCACACACATGCACACATACACCACACGCATACACACACAGACATACACACCACACGCATACACACACATGGACACACACTACATGCATACACATAAACACACCACACACATGCACACACACCACACGCATACACACACTGCATGTACATACACACTGCATGCACACACACAGACATATACACCACACACACCACACACACATACACACACATACCACACGTGCACACACCCCATCATTCCTTCCATTGCTAAAAACCAAAATGGATCACGCCACTCAAGGAAGGAGAAAATCCTGCAGTTTGCAGCCACCGGCTGGAACTGGGCGATCTCACTTGAAGTCGGTCAGACTGACAAGGTCAAATGCCGGATGTCCTGGCCGGGCTAGGGAACAGTGGGAACCAGAGTGGGCAGAACACGACTCGTGGGTCATCGTTATCTCCAGATTACAGGAACGGGACGCTCAGGAGAGGGAGATGTGAGGGGGACGCAGGAAGGGGCGGCCTGGAAGCCACGTGGGCAGGCGTCAGGGCGGGACCCTCCGAGGTGAGACGAAGGGTCAGCCTTGGCCGGAGCCCCCAGGCCCAGCATCCTCGCTGGAATTGAGGGCCTGGGCTGTGGACTTGGAGGGGGGGGCGTTGTATGCCCGTGACCCTTCCTGCAAATAACCGTGTCCATCCAGGCGTTGAAATAAAACCTTCGAATAAAATTTTAAAAATGAAATGCAAAAACATCAAAACCCACAGGACCACTTCTGTGGGGCGGGGTGGGGGGCACAGGGCAATCTGCTGAGCCCAGGTCGCCCCACCCCGGGTTTGACCCTGGGCACCTCCTATGGTCGCCCCCCCCCCCCCAGATTGGCCGGAGTGATCCCTGAGTGCAGAGCCGGAAGTGGCGCCCAGCACTGCCTTGTGTGGCTTCAGAAGGGAACAAAGACTCGGGGTCACGGATGTCCCCACCCCACATCACTGTTTTCTCAAAATATTCCCGTTTGTTTGGTGGGGTTTCTGAGTTGCCTGGCAGGGCAGTGCTCAGGGCTGACTCCTGGCTCTGTGCTCCGGGATCACTCTGGCACTCTGAATGGGGCTCAGGGTGCCGGGGATCAGGGATCGAACCCAGGTCAGCCGTGGGCAAGGCAAGTGCCCTACCCTCTGCACTCTCGCTCAGACCCCAAGCAAAGCTCTTTCCCAGCTCCCAGACCCGTTTTGCCTTTCCTCTCCTGGGACCTCTGCCCTGACCCTGGGGGGCCCCCCCTCATCTCTGGCCGGACACTCCACCGTTGTCCAACTTCCGGCCGGCCTGTCAGCAAGTCCCCACATGGTACCTCTCCTCCCGCCCCTTGCCCCCCACCTTCCCCCAGGACTGGTGCGGTTCTTATGCCAGCTCACTTTCCTCCTCCTCCTCCTCCTCTTCCTCCTCCCCCTCCCCCTCCCCCTCCCCCTCCTGGCCTGTCCCTGGCTGAGCTGCCCCATTTGGGGATCTCAGCATGATCTAAATGACAACCAGCTTCACACGCCTTGGGGTGGCCAGGCCTCCACCCTGCACCCCAGAAATGGATCCTCAGAAATCTCCATCCAAGAAGAGGCAGAAATGGTCTCTGAGCACTTCGGAGGTGGCAGCCCCCTCACCTCTCTGCACCCCACATGCAGTTACAGGGATCATTCAGGGGGACCCTCCAGGGTATTGGGTGGACCCAGGACTGCAGC